GTATAGAGAAAGAATAAACTAGTTTTATTTAAGAAAGGACTTGTATAGCTAAAGTTCTTTGGGAAGAAATTTTATGGGAAATTAACAAACGAACAGAGACGTAACAAACTGGTGTCAGAAGTGGGATAAAAAAAGAAAACGAAGAAGATGGAAACGAGAAGTGGAAAATAAAAGAAACAAGAAGAATGATATAAGAAACAAGAAGAGAGATTACAGCAGTTGTTGGAGGATAAAGAAAAGAAGCAAGAAGAGAGATTACAGCAGTTGTTGGAGGATAAAGAAAAGAAACAAGAAGAGGTATTACAGCAGTTGTTAGAGGAGATAGAAAAGAAACAAGAAGAGGTATTACAGCAGTTGTTGGAGGAGATAGAAAAGAAACAAGAAGAACAAGAAGAGAGGCTACAGCAGTGGTTGAGGGAGAAAGAAAATAAACAAGAAGAGAGACTACAGCAGTGGCAACTGGAACAAGAAAAGAAACAGGAAGAAAGTCTCAGACAGTTGCGGGAAAGTCAGCAGCAACTACAGGAAAGTCAACAATAGTGGCAAGAAGTACAAAGGAAAAATATAGTAAATTTCAAAATGAATTAGATACATTAAAGGACGATTTACTGTCTTTTACACAAGGAGGATATATTAACCATGGATCTAATTAGCCTCAGACAACAAGAAGTCCCTTCCAGACCCTGGAGCTAAACCCTAATGCAAACATATTCAGTCCTGCCAGAAGTCAGATTCCAGACATGAGTGTCAGCAATAAGGGTGATCTAGTATGAAAGAAGCCACAGAAATTCGATGGGAAGGCACCATGGGAAGCATATATAGCACAATTTGAGCTCCTGACAGAAATGAATGGATGGACAGAGGAACGGAAAGCAGTATATCTGGCAACGAGCCTGAAGACACAACCACTGGAAATACTTGGACAGTTGTCAGCAGACGATAGGCACAACTACAGAGCACTCATAGTTGCTTTAGAACTCAGGTATGGAACTCAAAATCAGTCCAAAGTCTACAGGGCTAGGTTTAGGACTAGACTCCGTGCTAAAGGGAAGAGCCTGCAGAGCTGGCACAGGATTTGGAAAGTA